ACATGGGAAATATTAGTTTTACATTATAAGAGATTTAATTTTCAAATTATTATTGGTATATACTTAAGTTATGATCACCAAAATGCTCTTGCTATGATGCTTTCTGGGCAAGCCATATCTATAATACAGCTTTCTGCAAATGTCACAATGTTGGCTGAGTATGCAGGAGTATGAAAGAAACCAAATATTTAGAAGGTGAAAGATAGAAAATAGTTATCCTTTCTCAAGAAGGTATGAGTGCTTAAGGAAATCAGTCCATGCAGCTGTTGTTCACAGAATCATAGGAAAGCAGGGCTGGAAGGGACTTTATAAGATCATCTAGTCTAGCCCCCTGCTCGCAGCAGGATCATCCCCCAACTAAACCATCACAGCCTGCCTGTCTAAACAGCTTTTCAAAGTTTCCAAGGATGGAGATTCTACAACTTTTCTGGGTTGCCTGTTCCAATGCCTGACCAACCTCACAGTCTGAAAATTCCTCCTTATCTCCTAACATAAACAGCTTGGAAAGAGTGCAGCAAAGAGCAACACTGATGATCATGGGCCTGGGAAGCAAGACTTAAGACAAAAGGTTAAAGTAACTAAGGTTATTTAGTCTGGAGAAGAGAAGACTGAGGTGGGAACTGATAAGAGTCTTCAAATACCTGAAAGAGAGGATGGGGCTGGGCTTTTCTCTGTGACCATATGGAAGAGGAGTGGAACCAACAGTCTCCAACCGTAGCAAGGGAAATTAGGTTGCAGACTTATGGTCAGAGTCAGCATCAAGGCTTGATTGTTCTATTCAGTTTGGAAAAACAAAGCAGAAAAAACCATTGCTTCCCCCAAAAGTTTATAAACTGAAATAAAGACCAGAAAAAAACAGATACACATATAAGAAAAACTTACAATACACATGAAAAGTCATCAGGGCAGTAGCAATGCATGGGGGGTGCACGTGCACCCCCTGAGAATGCTGGTGCACCTCTGGACAGGCCACAATCCCTGCTTAGACAACAGGTAGGGGGGCTGTGCCAGCCAGAGAGTGGGAGCACCGGATGAAGTGCTGTGGCCAGTTCTGAGACTGCCACAGCTGCTTCCAGGCCAGTGAGATTGACTATGGCCGGCCCGCCCTCCCCCTACATCCCCGAGCAACTGTAGAATAGTTCTCCTTAGTGATGACCCCTCCTTTC